CACAGCACATGCCCTGATCGTCTTTGCTAGAAGTTCTTCTGAAACAGCTGGGTTTGACGTGACAGCGAAAATGAGAAATCGCTGCCTCAGGAAATGCTTTGCCTTTGACTGATTGCTGAATGGCTGGCAAATTAATTTTGGCACCTTTCCCTAAATCATTTTAGTCTCATTCCTTCATTTTTCTGCCGGGAAGTATGTATTCACATTACAGTTAAAAATACCATTGACAACACAAATGTGGAGACAGCATGTACTATTTTAGGGAAGAAGTTGTAAGCTGGGATGATTCCATTGTACAGAATATGAATGACGCCTCAGAGGAGGGCTGGACTCTGCTTTCAGCTAGACTCAAGTCATTTTTATTGCTGACTTCACATAAGATCATGGGCTCCAGGGTTTAAGATTTGGAATCCTTGATGAATTTCTATCTTGAGCTTTCTCACTTAGGTACATATTTATAGCAAACCATCCCTACCCTCGAAAATTCTAGCTTCACTGCTTCCTGATGTATTTACCCTGTCATTATTGGAAGAGTTACTGTCACGGGTGGTTATGAACATGAACTTTGGATCTTTTCTATACCACCAGTTGGTTTGATGACCTTTATTGGGCTACTGAACTTTCGGTGCTTCGGTTGTAGCACGATAAAAGGCGACCCTAGTGGCAGTAACTCACTCCACCCTCTGTATCTCTTTGTGCACTGTCATTTTCTCTGCATTCAGCTCCAATTTTTAACACTCAACACATTATACACTTCTGCTTTCCTAAGAGGGTTATTTCACTGCTGACCAAAGTAAAAGAATTTGCACTTTTGATTTTGCTTTCTCTAAAGAAGATGAAGATACTGAGGTTGAGATTTAGAAAGGTAGACCTTGACCAGAAGTGATGAGCTAAGTCCTTACCTTGGTTGATGGTTGAAATTCTGAGTTGGTGACGTGTTACAATATCAGCAGGATGGGGAGCACATGGTGGCTCTCCTTATGTGACTGGCCTGTTCCTATCGTTGTTCTATCACAACTTGGCACAGTTTTGCTCATAACGATATATGAATTCAGTATTAACTGTAACTGCTAATTTTTCTACTCATATGTTATACATCTGGGTTTCTAAGGAGATTTGAATTGTAAAATACATGTAATAGAAAATTTAATATAGTAGTCCTTTTTTAAGTTGTGTTTATGTGTGTGTTAGCATCTTTATGAGAAACCTCAGAAACATGTTGACATATCTATATGGAAATAGTGCTCAAGTGGTGGGAAATGACAAAAAAGTTTATGATAAGGAATGCAATGCTGAAGAATTTATACAGTCAACTCCATGTGACTGTCTAGCATTGTAGCACCTGAGAATCGTGCATATGTGTGTGGAAAAGCATTTTGTTTTTCAGAAGAATTATACATGTTTTTTCAGTTATTTACTTTAAATTCTTAAACATTTCAGATTAGCCCCAAGGAAAACTTGCAAGAAAAGAAATGTAGGGGGAAAAATTAGTAAAAGTCAGATGTATCTGGTCAGAAGTATCTTAGTTAGATATATCTGGTATCTTTTTGGCAAAGAGAAAAATACAAGCAAATAAACACCAGTTTATATAAGATTTAATCACCCACTAGAGCAGGTCCTGAGGTGCAGAATATGCTCAGTAAATATTTGCTGAATGACTGAATCAATGAAAAACTTTGTTAAGTTCAAAACAAGGCATCTTTTTCTACTTATTAAAAATGTTTAATGATTAACCTATGGTAAAATCTGGTCTTAAAAGTAATTCCATTGAGTCATAGAGCATGAAAATATTGACTGTAAAAGAGCATGTCAGAATCATTAATTGTGGAATAATACTAGCAATCAATATTAATTGAGATAAAAGTTCATATTTTCATTATTTTAAAAATCAAGTGTAATATTTAAATTAGAAAATAAGGAATACATTATAACAAGAATAGCTCTGCTAAGAATAGGCAAAATTCTTCTATTTTAAGAATACTATTTGCCCTTACATTTCTACTATAAACATTTTAAATTAGTAATTCCTCATATAGTATTTTATTTACCAATTAATTATGGTATAGAATGACCCAAATAGCCCATATTTCAAATTATTGATGATGCAGCCTAAGTAATTTCTTCCAAATTACTTAGAATTAATGAGCTTTGCTTATAAAGACAAGGGTATCTTTTAAGAAAAATGGTGAAATCTTATGATTCAGGGATATTAAAAAATTTATGCTTAGCTAAACACATTGTGGTTAGTTCTAAAAATCATACAGTTTAGCAACAGAAGTAGTTGAGTTCTTTTTTTTTTTATTCCCACTCTGGGGAAGACTGATTTGTAGATAAACACCCATACCCAATAGCTTTGCATAGCTAATATCTAACGTGTGGGAGCAAGTTAGAAGCAGCTAAGTCTAATGAGGTTACCCACATAATCTAATCATCCAGACTGAGCACAAAGTAGACAAATAGCTTAGAAGCAGGGAGCATTCAATTTATTTCTCAATTATCCTGAGTGTTTGTATTCCAGGCATCACCAGATAGATGGGAGGTGTGCATTTCCCACCGGTTCCAAGTTTCTCTCAAGTGAATGTGAACACAGCGTTTCCCACAGTTCACTGACTGTTAGGCCATAGGCAAGATGCCCTTTAATTCAAAGTCAACACAAGAAGTTGCAAAGAGCCACTTCTTCTTGCCAGTTCCTCTCTCCTTAACCTGCAGTGGACTACACAGTGGCCTGCCTCCAGGAAGGCCCTGGTTTCCAGGCTCCTGGAAGCTTCAACACAATATTTGTTACTCATCTTCTAATTTTTTTTTTAGATTTATTTATTCATTCATACAGAACCAGGATACAGGCCAGAGATGCGGAGGGTGAGAGGATTCTGAGAGCAGAACAGGCAGATCAATGAATACATTGCTGAGGGGAGCAGCAGGCGGATCAGGAGAGGTCTGCCATGCCATGTGGATCACCTCCAGGGCAGGCGGGGATCGAACTCATGTGAAAGTGGCTTAAGCTTCTTAGTGCAGTGCTTTAACCCGCTGCGCCAGCAGGGAGGGCCACATCATCTTCTAATTTTTAAAGATTCATGTCAACGTAAAGTCCTTCCAGAGATGCATAGCATGGAGAGAGTGGTAGGGAAATTATTTGAATTAATTAGAAAAAAAAACACACTTTAATGCAATGAGGCATCAATGTCTCTGCAATTACATTTTATTTTTGTGATATTCAAGGTGGAGTTAGAAAAAAGGACTTTTTTTCCCAAAGTAAAAATAGAGGTCTTGGCATGCTCTTTACAAAATGAGTGCAGGGGACCTCTCTGGTGGCACAAAGGGGTTAAAGCATAGCATTAAGAAGCAGTCCTCAGCCACTGCAGTATGATTTTGATCCCCTACCAGGGAGGTGAGCCACACGGTGCAGCAGACCTCTCCTGCCTTGCCCGCTACTCCCCTCAGTAATGTATTTCAGTCACTCTGCCTCTTGTATTCCCCACTCTGTCTCTATTGAATCCTTTCACCCCCTGCATCTCTGAGCTCTACCCCAGTTCTTATATGCATAAATAAATAAAATCTTTAAAACAAATAAAGTGAGTGCAGGAGTGTCTAGAGAAAAGGTGGCATTCTAGCAAAGATAATGGCTGTCAGTGTTTTGGTATGAAGTTTTCTAGATTTTTCTATGCTTTTACCAGTATTCAGATAACTCTTTTTAAGAAATAGAATGAAAGAAATCAGCCAATACATACACCGTTTAGTAGTGACCCTACTTACATAACTTCTACATGAACGGGCATAATATTTCACTATGATTTTTTTTTTTACTTCAGGCATTTCTATTTTATTTTTAATTTTTTTTTTTACTTTTTTTTATTAAAAAGTTTATTTTTACATCATTTTGCACATTTTTTTTTTCATCTCAATTGTAATCCCCACGGGTTTCCCATCACCAAATCACCCCTGTGCCACCACCATAGTCCCGTGCATTTCCCTCCCTTCCCCCCCCCCCCATTTTTGATTCCATTCCCCGCTCCACCCCCACAGAATGTCTCTGGTCTATGGTTGTTCATTATTTTTGTTATTTTCTCGCCTGGTCCATTATACTCCTGCTATGAGTGAAACCATCCGGTATTTTTCTTTCTCTTTCTGGCTTATCTCACTCAGCATGATCTTTTCCAGCTCCATCCAAGTTGCTGCAAAAGACATGTGTTTCTCTTTTTTGGTTGCTGAGTAATATTCCATTGTATATATGTACCACATCTTTCTAATCCAGTCATCTACTTTTGGGCATTTGGGCTGCTTCCATGTTTTTCCAATTGTAAATAAAGCAGCAATAAGCATGGGGGTACAAGTATCTTTTTCAATCAGTGTTTTTGTGTCTTTTGGGTAGATACCTAGGAGTGGGATTGCTGGGTCATAGGGAAGCTCCATGTTTAGCAGTTTGAGGAACCTCCAAACAGTTTTCCATAGTGGTTGTACTTGTTTGCATTCCCACCAGCAATGCAGGAGAGTTCCTTTTTCTCCTATTTCACTATGATTTTAATGGTGTCTTTGTATACCCATGCATATAAATGTACCATTTGTGGCTATTTCCAAAATTCCATGCATAGAAAGGTTATTCTTAGTCATATGCTTTAGTATGCTTTTCTCCTGGTTCCTTTGTTATGAACACTTAGTGTAAAAGAGTATCTATTTTTCATAAATAACAATTTATTGATACCAATAAAATTTGAGAGCCCCAAATTGCTCTCTATAAATGTATCAATTTTCTTGCCACCTATATTGTGGGTGGATGCTCATGTCTCCACACTTGTAAATCATACAGGTTGAAAAAGAAGTGGTATATTAGAGGGTATTTCCAATCGGCGAGTTTAGGGTGATGTGGTTGTCATTCTTGGCTGCTGAAGGCCACCCTCCCCTAACCACTGCATTTATTTCTTTGCCAGATGGTGTAACTCAAGTTTCATTTTTACAACCTACTGCCATATCTTAAACCTCTCTCCTGTGTTCATTTCCCTTAGATTGAGGAAGACACCTGGCAGAAATACTACTTGGAAGGCGTCTCAAATGAAATGTACACAGAATATCTCTCCAGTGCCTTTGTGGGTCTGTCCTTCCCTACTGTTTGTGAGTAAGTGACCCTTAGCCCTATGCTTTTTGGTTCTCAGGGATATTTAATGTTTCCTTTGTGGAAAAGACACCCCATTCTTCCCAGCATAGCTGGGGTACTTTACAATTACAAGGATGTCCCTTGCGCTTACCTTGCGAGGTGAACTGGAAGATGGGGCACTTGGCATGGTTCCCACCTTACTGGCTTACTTTTCTCTCCAGTCCCAAGAATCTCAGGCTTGGGCCATTATTTGTACTCAAGTTATGAGCTGTAGATCTCCTGCATGTCTTGAATTATGTTCCTGTGATGCAGACACACATATGAAGGGTGACATAAATCTACATTTCTGATTTTACTACAGCAAAAAGCAAATCTTGCCAGCCCCTTGATGAAAGGAATGTTTATCTCCCTTTCAATTAAGTCAGATCATAGAAACATCAGAGAGGCCACTGTTCAAAGTGTTTGCATGATTTATATACAAAACATGGAACCAAATGTACTGGAAGAGGCCCTGAAAAAGTCCTTAGCAATTTAACCCCTAACATGGACAACTTGTATTTCATAGCAATAAAAAGATGTAGTTTCTCATTATATGGGCTCAGCAGAATGGCTTTGAGCAGGGGGTAACCTGAGCCTGCCATGGCTCCTTGAGGTAGAACAGGTGATCACCTAAGACAGGTGACCTCAGAGCTCTTGGTATCTGAGACTCTGAGACACCTTGACTGTATGTCATATTCCCCACTTAGAAGCTCAGAGGTTGGGTTTGAAGTCAACCAGGGGCTTTGTCCCCTTTGAAAACATGAGCTACTGGAAATGCTGAAACATTAAATCAGGTCCATTGACCCCTTTGCAAAGGATTTGATAATCTTTGCAAAGGATTTGATAATCTTAGTCTCACTAACAAATGTTTGGGGACTCACTGAAATGAGAAAGAGAAGCTGTTCCCCAGCACTGTCTGTCTACAAGCCCAGCCCCTCCTCTGGAAGGGGAGGTTGGGGGAGGAGAGTCCTTAGGTTCCGATGGCTCATCATGTCCTGTTCCAAGCACAGTGGAGAAGGGACGGGCACATAGTAGCTTGGTGTCTACCTGGGGACGCCTGTCAGCAGGTGCGTGCTCTCTGTCCCTGGACCCCAGACCTAAGCAATGGAAAATGGTTTAGCTGTTTATTGCAATTTCTTACCCTGTCTCAAAGTGAAAGTTTAAAGGCCAAATGAAGTGGAAAAGTGAATAGGTAATTGGTTCAGAAGGAGTTGTCTTCTGAAAATGGTTGTCCTGTGGTAGCTACCATGTGTTCCTCCCTTTGAGGGCAATTTGTGTCACAGAAAGAAGTTTGCCATTTAGAGCTATTGGGCCCTGGTACACAGAAAAGGCTGCCCTGGGAATTTTCTCCACCTTGGAGCTTGGTCTGCCTGGAACAAAAGGCTGTGGGGGAAGATAGGGCTGAACACAGGAACTAAGGGACAATTGAAGTCTCCTATATCTAGTGGAGGGTGCTGAGCACACAGCTGAGCCCCCAAGGCCCGGAGACATCTACGGCACTGGGGACAATAACGGGAGAGGTGAAGCTGCTTCCTCAGCTGCTTCCCTGGTCTTCTGACATTAGAGTCCCAGAGGAACCCTGAACTCTCTCAGGTTCTCTGCTCCTCTCCTGCTTCCCTGACTCTGCTCCTGGGAATCAAGTCCCTTTGTTTTCAGGGTGTTAACTGGAGGGTTAGGACTGCCCACCCCCCAAAGCTGCAATGGGAATACCTCCATGTGTTGCTAACCCACTGAAGGGTGCGCTGACCGCTACGTTCACCTGAACGTAGGAGACTCGGAGACACGAGAGAACGAAGCAGGAGCTCGGGGTCTGGAGTCCAGAGTCTGTTTATTAGGATCACCTATGGGTATATACAGGGTCTGTACGTACAGGGAACACAGGGAATGGGGTGCATGTTTGTACCAGGCCTGGAGCTTCTTGTAGCTTCTACTTGAAACAAAGTAGTGGGCTGCAGCTATTTGCGGGACAGAGTGCACTGTGCTCTGCTGACTTGTTTGTTGGCCTCACTGGGGCGTGTGCTCACCCATGAACAATGTTAGCCAGGGTGGACAGGTGCACTTGATGTCCTGTGGAGTTAGCCACACCCATGGGATAAATTCAGCTCCCATATTTGCCTCACATAGCATTTGGTGTTTTAAATGTTACTCACCAGTATTTCAGAATAGGCAATAGTATCTAAAAGCTAGATTTGGGCCTCTCTTGAAAATCTCAGAAGCCTTCCATTTCTACCAAGAGCTAACTGGCTCTGGTTTGCTCCATGGAAGAGATTAATGTAGTCCTCCTCTCCTTGATGTCCCTAAACCAGACGAGGTTAGTGCTTCAATTCCATCGTTAGGCGCGGCCCCTAGATGTGTGGCTGTCAACCTGGCTTATTGGAGGCAGCTCAAAGTTAGGCACTAGCGGCTGCCAATTGACTTTCATGTTTAGAACATGTCCCAAGGAGGAGAAAGTCCCTCAGGCACCTCGTTGTCCAAGAATTCAGTATTTGTTTAGTAGTTTCTGGAATACAAAATGACACTAACAGCCACAAACTTCTGAAGTGAGTGAGAATGTGTTCAACTGAGTGCTATTATTCGTTTAACACAATGATACAGCAGAGGTAGAAATAATCAATAAAGAAAGGACATTTAATGAGATTTAGGAACATCCCAAAACATTGAAGCTCTCCTCAAGCATTTGATTATCTGGAGGCTTAATTATCTGTGTTTTCTACTTTAAATTAAAGAAAAGCCATAACTCAAAGTTACCAGCAGTTTAATGATAACACTCTTCAATTCAGGTTAATTAAAGCACAGCCGTAATTAGAGTGTAGTGTTGTATATCACAGGGCTGGTGCATAAGTATTTTCATTACAGTAAGAATTGGCTATTCAATTTCAAGATGACATAAAGGACGCTAAAATATATTTTAAGCTGGTTCACGCAGAAGAAAAAGAATTGGGAATATTCTGGGTATAATAAAGCACAGATAAAAAATACAGATTTCCAGAGCAGTTTCTGTAATTATGCACAACATTAAAACAATATGCAGCCAATAATGTCTAAAAGCACGAAAAGACATATATTTGCTCATCCCTTAGGCTGGCAGGATGCCCCTTTGCAGGGCAGGATCACCTCACAGAATTTTCTCAAAAGCTGGGAGAGTCACCCATGAAGAGATAAAGGGGAGGGATAAATGGGTGAACTCTGAGCTGGTTTCTCAAGAGAATAGGAAGGAGAAGAGGGACAACCGGCAGCTTTTAAAATATTTCAAGAAGAGAGATACGGGCTCTGAGACTTTGGCATCTCTACACCAGCTTTTGGCTGCACCATGCATGTGACCCCAAGATGCGGCTTCACCCCCTCCAACAGTAGCTAACTGAGACAAAATGCAAAACCATTCTTAAATGCTTCATTTAAGTTTGCTTATTTAATATTGACAACAACCCCATGTTGTGCATACTGATACCGCTGTCCTCAGGTTCTAAGCCAGGACACTGAGGCTCAGTGCGCATCGGTGCCCTTGCAAGGCCACCTAGTGCCCAGTTAGAGAATCAGGATCCTGCCTGATCATCAGGGGTCGTCAGCTCTCGGAGCCATTGGAGTAGCTGTCAGCTGGCTAATTAAGCATCTCCTGTGGAGCTGATTAGGTGGAGACATTTCTAGGCACCATCTTCACATTTTAACTTCTGGGGAAGACCTGAAAATCTGCAGTTTTTACCAACAAGTCAGGTGATTTTGATTTAAAATGTGATGCCAGGGCCCTCCCTGGTGGCACAGCAGGTTAAAGCACAACACTGCAAGCCAGGTGTGAGTTGATCCCCAGCCTGGGAGGTGACCCACATGGCATGTTGCTCCCCGCGGTATTTCAGTTCATCTGCTTGTTCTGCTCCCCACTCTGCCTCTGGTGAATACTCTCACTCCCCACCTCGCCTGTACCCTATTTTTTGTGTGCATAAAAATATCTTTTTTTTTTTTAAAGAATCATCAGCATCAGTTGGTTTTGAATAACTATCTCACCCCTGGATCTGTGTATCTGTAGCATTGTGACTTAGGCACCTTAGGACTTGAAGGAGAGGGTGGTGCCTTCTTTGATCTCTGCACACCAAGAGCCCATTAGTTCCCTTTTCCTCACCTCTCCACCTTCCTCAGTAGGTGACTGTGGAGGGTGCAGATGGCCAGTGCCAAACCTTCAGGAAGGGTGGGCAGGGATCTAAGTCATGTTTGCTGCTAGAGGGTCCTGGCTTAGGATAGCACCTGTAATAGGGTTATGAGCTGTGCAGTTGAAAAGGCCCATGGTCAAACCCTAGGTGGACCTGTTTGTTGGATTTGATTTGGGGTAAGATATTTGATCACTCCCAGATACCTGGCCTTGGCCTCAGGCTTACGCCTGTTTGCTCCTAGTTCTCCTCCCAACACCCCTCTGCCCTGCTGCACACAATATAATACATGCACCCAGTGGGAAAAAAGTACATCCAGTTACTTCCAGATTATATTTATTTCTGCTCTTTAGAAAAGTCTGCCACCAGTCACCAGCCAGTTAATCAACTAAATATTTTTTAAGTTAGGTTGTTCGTGCCATTGTGCCAGGCAAGATACCTTCTCTGGAGGGACCTGTAGTTAGATGTGATCTGATATATGCATGTGAAAAGATGGATAATGATACCTGTAAATACCAAGGAAAGCATTGTCTGTCAGTAGTTGCCTTCTGAGAGTGTGCTCTCTGGCTAAGACAACCACCCTCAAGGATAGCTGAACAGTTGTACAGTGCCTGGTGGACGAACACCTTTGGAGACAGATTCTGCGAGTGACAGGGAGAGAGTCTCTTGAGGCTGGGGTATCCAAGGGAGGCTTCCTGGAAGAAATGTCACTGAGGTTGGATTGAGTTAAGGGATCCGAGGGATGAGATAATTCTAAGTGATAAAAAGAAATCAAGAGTCAGGGAGTCACATGGTACCACACAGAACTCTCTGAATACCCAGGTTTCTTTGAGAGTTTCCAAG